TGTTATGGTATATTTTCACCGAAAAACTTTCATTAACAGTTACTTTTAACTTAACCATCATGGCTGAGTGATCACGCTGTTTGAAACGTATCCATAAAATACTGTATGCAAACTTCGGAATCATGAGCCATGGATGACCTTGGAAAAGTCACTAATGGTAATTCTTGTAGTTAGTTAGTGAGCATACGAAACTCAAGTGATCAAAACGCAAGAACTCTACGTTAGGCTGGCCTTCTGTCAAGACTCACAGTTAGTCATAGTTATAGGGAGTGTGAGGTGTAGCGTTTTAATAGAAATCCTTGAAGATAACAGAAAAAAATATTTGTATTTCATGAATATTCATCAAGACTTGCTGGTTGTTTTGAATGTGATTTATTATAGAAAAGCTTAAATTTCTCAAAATGAGAATGAGCAAAAGATTGACCAGTGATCGTAAATTGATAGCGATTGACAATACTATAATAAGCCCAACTGAATGATACCATACATATTCGTGGTGAATAATGCCGAATAATATGAACCGTTTCTTGAGGTTCTTCAGCATATTGAAGCGATTGAATCAATTGTAAGATAAAGATAATTAAGTCAAATGTATGATTTTAACAAAAGCTACGAATATGAGAAAGAAAAAGATACTTGAAATTTACTCATTGTAATTAGCCTAAAAGATCTGTTGAATTACTAAAAGGTTAATAATTATTATCAGTATAATAATTCATATTTAATGAAATCAAACGAAGTTCCATTGAGAAGTTAAATTTGAATAAAGCCATGGTATATTATCTGTTGGAAAAAGATCCAGTGGTACTTCTTCATGATTATCAACACATGCATATATATTTTTTTGTTAGGAAATGTTTTTTTCAATAAACGATATATTGTAAAGGAAATTTCTTTGAAATCTTCATCTTGAGTTTGTTGTTATACATCATGTGGAGCAATATCACCGATAAAATTTTAAAAAATCAATTTTTTTCTTCATTTTGAACAATATATTTTGACATGCTTTCGGCTGTTCACTGTGGTGAATCACAAGTACGATGAACACCCTAAAAATGCTGTTCCTAATTCATCATGTTTTGATAGTCTATCATGACAACAAAGCGTTTGACCACAATTAACATTTGAATCAGGTTTATATTCTAGATCAATATGTAGATCAGCTAGATGAAGAATTGAAAGAACATTTTTCGAAGATAAATGTCTCGAGGTGAGAAGTTGGTGATTTTATCGTAGACAGTCAAAAGCTACAACACAGATTTCGTATATTGATAACAGACTATAACGAAGAAATTCAATAAATACTTAATTATATTCATTGATTATGTCTACACATACTGCATTATCAACAATTGTACACACCAGAAGAAAAAATATACTCGTGTAAAAGCATCGAAAAAGCATTGTGACGGATAGAATAGTATCTATGATATCTTTCTATATATTTACTCCAACAGATGTGTACCATTATGCAGATAAGATAAGGACAAACATATCTTCCTAAGTGAACATTTTTCTTTAGCAAGGTTGCTTGAAAATAGAGGTTTTCGACTACACTATTATTATATAATACACTGTTAGGTTATTAATTCAAAACAAATTTACTCATTTTAAACAGAATGAATGTTAGAAATGAAGTGAAGAATCAATTGTACATCAATATTGTTTTGAAATGCTATTCTATATTAGAAAAGAGGATATGGGTGGGTGTGAATCTCGGTGTCTATGTATGAACTTTTCTTCACCCATATCCATTACTATTATGGGAACGATAATAATGAATCATGATATTCATAATAAAGATTTTTCAGATTAATCAAGATATTTTCCATCAATTATTATCTAAAGTACTATTTAATTAAATATATGATTCTATCGAAAGACTTTCATTTATTTATATGCTATCATTAATATATATGGGCAAAAATACAAAATAAGAGGGAAAGCCTTGTAACAATTATATCACATTATCATAACCATTCTTTTGTCTCTTCTGTTTTGTTACTGTCGTTCGTTTCTCTTTTCTCTTCGTTCTCTCCCTTCCTCTAAGTTATTTATATAAATATATGTATATGTGATCGTGATCGTGATCGTATGTGAATATATGTATAATTTATTATTCTAGTACAAAACAAAAAGTAAAGCTCCTCCGTTACAATCTAAAATTTTGAAATAAAATAAATCTAACAATAGACACTGCATTCAATCATATGCTGTATCTAAATTCAATCCTCTGACAGGCAGAATAAATCAAAAAGAGTATCTATCAGCAATTGACGAATCGATTTTAAAGCATCTAAAGAGACTTTCTCTTGTGTAGTATTCAAAACAAAAGCATTTTCTTATTGATTAGAATACGAATGGTTTCGATTGCTTAGAATAGACGCACGACACATACTGTGGATCATTATAATATAGAATCAGTATGGCTTTCTGTCGATATACAATTTGAATGTGTACGATTACACGCTTGTGATCGTACACATAAACAACTTTGTTTTTTTATATTTATAACACTTATTTACCGTCATTTTTTCTTTTCTTTTGTTTTTTTTTGATACTTTCTCCATCGATGATTGCTATTCAGTCTATTGATCATTTTTACTTATGCAAAACATGATTTTACATTAATGATGAAGCATATAGCGAGAAATTTGAGAATTCCTTCGTGCTTGCCCTTAGAAAAATGATAAACACACCACATGGTATTTTTTTCGAACTAAGATATTATGGGTTTCCGAACTTCAGACTAGTGAATTTTTAGATGAAGCTTCAGATTTTGAATCGATACGAAATGTCTAAACCAAAAAGTTCATTTCTCTCTTTCTTTGTGTGATATTTCAGTTCCGATTGCACTGTTGTCACAGGCAATCGAAGATCATTCTCCCTAGACCTTATAGTGAATCATTATGAAGATAAGAACTATCACCATATTCATGTAAAATCGTTTCAATGTGTTTTTCTATTTTAATCTCGGTAGGAATTGCGCTAAAGTTTTTTTTTCCCTTTATTTCAAGAAAAAGAGAGGCAATATGGCAACAAAATTCGATATCGATATCGACAACAATGGAAAAGTGTTATTCAAGGAATTCAAGAATTATGTGAAGCGCTACCAGTTGGGTTTTAATGACGATGAGATTGCGGCTATGTTCTTCTGTTGTGACAAAGATATGAGCGGCTATTTGTCGTTGGACGAAGTCGGTTGACTATTTTCTCTGACAAAGTCGGAATTGAATCAGATGACCGTTTGTATTCGTGTTATTGTTCCTTCAACAGAGACCGTAAGCATTATCGTCGGTTCTGCTGAATTTCAAGCACGCCTTGGTAAGAAGAAAAAAAAGGAAAAAGATAAATTCAAGAAATCTCTATTATTTTTGTTTAAAAAACTTTCAAAATTTTATTGTCAATAGTTTGAAACTATTATCGCCATATTTGACAGAGTTCTGATCGATTCAGTTCAAATTTGTTGTTGATTGATCTAAATTGAATGGAACTTGAGAATACTAACCATATTACTCTGAACTTTATCTTCATTTCAACAACCATTACTTAAGCAGTAATCTCTTCTCTTTTAGAAGCGTTTCGAATTTTGTTTTGCAAGACATTTGGTGGTTGTACAGCACTTCCGGCTCAACACGGTGCCTATTTGGCCAATGATGGTCAAATAGTGAACGAGACTGTGGCATCTGTGGAGACGTTTTGCACAAAGAATAAATGGGCTGATAATGAAAAACTTGTGAGGAATTTTATCAAAGACAAGTGCAAATAATGGGAACAAGAATGCATAGCATTGGAAATTAATGATACATTGGAATATGTTGCTCCTGATACTGACAATACGACAGATGCTGTTAGAGATGCAGAGACTCTTTTGCGTCAGTTGGCAACGAGAATTCAAATGGTAAAAGAAGTAAAAAAAAATGACATAGCTCAATACCATATGAAGAAAAACCATAAACTTTGTTCTTCTCGTTTCTCATACAAAATACGATTTTTTTTTTATTCGGTATAATCTTTCAACAATCAACATGCACAACTATCTAGAAACCAAATTATTTTCTGAAAATTCTAAATATTTTCTGCGATTTTATTGAAAGCCGACACATATACAAGCCATAATAAGTAATGGCTATGAGGGTGTGGATGAGTAAGACTGGATGTATTTGTAAGTGTGTAGATGAAAAGAGAACATGTAGCTACACCCACATCCCATACCTCTTCCAGTTATTCTCGAACGATTCCCAGATTTTACGAAATATTTTCAGGACTAAGACGTGATTGATGTCTTACTCGTGCGGAAGAAGAACTTTGTTGGTTTTGTGAAAGTTCTTAAGACTCATCAAATGAGTCATTTGTCATGTGTGGTATGGAAGAACGATTGCAGAGAACAGGAGAAAATTTATTGGTATTATCCTGCAATAATGAACGACCAATATTCGATGATTTCATGGTATTTCAAGAATCGGATTCAATCGTTCAAGCAAAGGCTATTCAGCCACATTTATATTGTTCGAGAGAATTCACTAACCATAGACCAACAGCTTGGTCACACAGCCATTGTTACAAATCAACTTTCGATCTTGGTTATCGGTTGTATACAATTAGTTTTAACTATAAAGATAAAATTATCGAAATTATAATCTATCAACAAGAACCAAAAGAATTATCCATATAAAAAATCCCATTGTTGACAGGATGTTCTTGGAATCAGTGTTTGTAATTCTAAGTATAGACAGAAAATTTGTAGAGCAATTTGCAATAAAAAGTTGAGTTTAAAGGTATATGCATTTGTGAACCATTATTCACAGAATTTGATTATTCATTTTTTATTCCTTGTGAATACCTGTTGTTTTTTGAGCGAGTCATTTTATTCACATGTTTTCCAATGTCAGAGCTTTTTTACAACATAAAAAGAGTGCTAAAAAATCAAGAAGTGAAAGAAACTCATCGAATGTGAATGTGCGTTCGTATAATATATAGCTGAATTAGTATTTTTGGTCTTATCTTAGTTTATACAGCGGATAATGAGATGCCTCAAGACATTCATAAAAGTCAATGATGATTTTCTCGTGTACAAGAAGAGCTAGGGATTCTTTGTTGGAAACTTGTCTCAAACAAGTAATCGTCAAAAGTAGACGTTGAATTTGTCCAATCAGTGGTTTGCTTCGTTTTTCTTTTTGATCATAAAATAATTTATTCGACATAGGATCTTTCAGAACATCATCTAATAATTGATAGACTTCCAAACAAGAAATACTATTGGTAATAGCATAGTAAACCAAGAATGTGACAGCAATGTTTCGTTTACCCATCGAAACAGACTTCAAATATGGAAAAAGACTTTCTATGGCATCTCTATTCTCGATTTTTTCTAATGGTTTGAAAATTTCATCATAGTTTTGATAGAGATCAAAAAAATCTGTAAAGATCATATGAATCCAATCTACAGTGGCAACGTCGAATGTCGAATACAGTTCAATACACCAACGTCTTTGCTGTATAGTTCCCTTTTTCCATGCGCGATAAAGTGCCTTTTTGAATGCTTCTTCACCGTGAACACTTGTTCGAACTGCTTCACAAAATGATTCAGGTTCTAGTTCAATTAGTTCGCAAGCAACATATAAATAATCCGCATCACGATTGATACGATTCATTGTTGCGGAGGAGCTCAATAAAGAATTATAGCAATCATCTATAAAACGATCCGCTAGATCATTCCAATGACTTCGCAGTAACTCAACAATTTGAGTACACCAGTCATTATGATCTTCTCTTTCGATCGTACATTCTCGTTTTGTCTTTATTACAGTGTATAGAAAATCAGCACTAACACTTAATCGATGTTCCATATCGTTGATACTCTCATCAGGTTTTTTATCTTTCCATAACATATAATTATAACAGGCAAGAGCATGTTGAGAGACTGTCACAGAACTCGATAGTTTTTCTATAGACTTAAAAAAGGATTCGTCTACAGAACGATAGTTGACGAAAACATCGACGAAAGCCCATAAACAGAGATAGAGAACATAATCTGAAAGTTGTATTCGTTCTGGTTCCCTGATTGAATCACCGTCAAGTCTCAAGTTTTGCTGAGAAAAACATATTGTATTTTCTAAAAATGTCCGACCTTGCTTGTCAAATGTTAATGCAAAAGATGCTGCTCGTTGTGTAAATGGTAACAAATTTTGCTCATACACAATTGTTTTTAATACTTCAACAAAATTGTCATTATGCAGTTCAGGATCAATGTCTGTCTCAACTTCAGCTAAATGAACTATTATAGTTGCGAGATACTCATCATTCACTATCGAATCACTCTTCAATTGTGTCTGAATATGTGTCATCAGATAATTGCGCACCTCTTGTGTATAACTACCTATTAAAAACAAGAAAGAAAATCGTTCATCATCATCTGGTAATAATCTTAATCTATTAGATTCTAACTCAAGCAACAAATTGATATCATCTATGAATTTTATATATATTTTTGGAAATGATAAAGAATGTAGCCAAGCACTTCGTAGCACTCGCCACATCCATGAACTCCATTTTTCGCACGTGATATAGACATCGTTTTCATACCAACTTTGAAAAGCTGTTCGTGCTTGATAACGAATGTTATCAACAGACTGAAAAAATGCTTTTTCCAATATTCTAAATATTTTCTCTATCACAGACAAAGACAAATTTTCATGGTCACTTCTCAAAAGTAAACCAACAGCAAGCAGAGCAAATTGACAATGACATTCATTGTCCTTATCGTCATAGTATGAGAGCCAATTTTCAATCATTAGTCGATCTCTTACTTCAATATCTTTATAGACAATAGGATCATCAAATGGAATGACTTGTTCAATGTTTCGAGTTGGTGTCGAACTCAAATACATATTGATTGATACAATTCGATGATGGGAGAATTTTTCTGTTGAACAATTCCAATTCCATTGCTCGAACAGTTTTTCTGTTAAATTTAATGTTTTAGGCGTTGGAATACAATCATTCAAATGCGGAACAACAATCATGAGTGTGTTTGTATCGACTGTTAGTTCAGCAAGATATAATTGGCATAGGAGGACATTATCGAAATCTGTGAGGAAAGATTCGTCTGTTTGAAGCAAGAACGAATGTAAACTAGACGAATTAAATTCGAGAATGTCGGATAAATTTGATCGAGTTCTAAATGAAAATGGAAGCTGTATCTCAAGTCCAACTATTGTTTTCAGTGCTTGAAATACGCTCTCTTGATCCTTAGCGTCTTCATCGTCACTGGGTATTTGATGTAAATGTGTACACACATTCTCCAACAGTTCATTTAGTAATGGATGCATCTTTTCTCCTTCTTGGATACATGAAATGAGTATAATCGACTTAATTATCAATGGTAAACTACACGGTAATTGTTCTAGTTCAATTTCGATGAGCATTTGTTGTAATACAGTATGCATAGTTTTATCAGACCATCTGCAAACGATTTGCCGCATATGACAAAGGCATAGTATACGCAAAACGTGATCTTGAATATATTGTACTGCTTGCATGACTTTCTCAAATATTTCTTTCTTTTCCCTAATGAATTCGCACATACGAATAATTGACAGTGCTGCCGAGAATAGTTGCAAATCAACTTGGAGTCTTTGTTGATGTCCCACAGAAGAAAGAGCACTCGATATTCGTTCATATTCTTTCTCTATAGCAGTTCTCACAGTAACAAGATTCACATTAGTCGGAATTGATATTTCATTATCTTCTAGATTATACTCATATCTAGTCGCTTTCACTGTTTGTATGATTGCTAAGACATAACTTTCTAATTGATTCTTTTGAACAGTATCTTCTATTGTAGTGAGAAATGAAAAAAGTTCGAATGTGCGCATATTCTGTTGGTCTACGAATAGAAGTACTTCGGCTAAAAGTACTAATTTAAAAATGTAATTCCATTCGGAATTTTGTAGATTTAGTTGATCTTTTAGAATGAACCGTTCAAAAATAGGTTGAAATGAAACGGGTATGAATGCAACTAAGAAAAGTGGATGCTGACATAAAAGTTGATATGAATGTTTTCCATACTTCCATTGATTTCTAGCTGTAACTTCATCAGTTGACGACAACGCGAGTACATGTCGCAAATGTCTCAATGAATAAATCGTGAACACTTCATTTTTTTTATCTACATTATTGTAAGGTACAACTAACTGAATATCTTTCCAAGATGAAGTGTTTGGAAATGTCAGATGTTTACATGCCTCAATCATCGCAATAGTCAACGAGTTTTTTATTTTCGCATTTATATCATATTTCGTAGACATTTCATTCAGAAACGTACTTATATCGCTGAATAATGAAGTACGATTTTGAGAACAAGTTCTTTGTATAGTATAAAATTGGCGCAAATGATATAGGACTAATTTGAGTCGATAGAATACGAGAGACAACACCTTATGGTGACGACAATGTTCAAAGATATTGATCGGAATGATACTTCGAAGAATGATCAATGCAAGATATGCATCTTGTGTTCGTCTTGATATATCATCTATGGATGCTTCAAAAATGATCGTCTCGCATTCGTCAATTAAATAGCGAATATTTTGATGGATATCATGTATATCTTTCTTGCAACATTCAATTAACAAAGGTGCTAATGGAGTCAACCGATGCATTCGTATCGGATCAAAATGGATAGAATTTTCGTCTTTTATCATACCACCACAAAGAACTATAATAACCGATAGAATCAATGGATGAATTTTATCAATAGAAATCATTTCGCTAATTAGAAACGATTCTAGAATATTGAAGTGACTGTGACACAGAACAGGTTCTACACAACGAAAAATCCAATCGATGATTGTATGAACATTCACGTCTTTTTCATCACAAATTGTAATAAAACTTATTGTTGAATCGGATAACCATGAGGGGAACATCCATGTGCTTTTATCAACTATCGGTTCCATGCAATAGAGAAGAAGCTCGTACATACGTTCGACATGAATTGAATCATCATGCAAGAGATTTTCAAATATACTGCTAGCAGCTTCTATTGATAGACTATTCAATGCTTGTCGAAGGTATTCTTTTGAATCATCCTCTAAACTTGAAGACATCAGTATGCATCTGAAAATGCGCACTATCGTACTAGAAGAACGAAAAGAGTATAAACTTGTAAGTGCATCAGTTAATAGAAGACAGCCCAGAGGTAGACTACCAACATTTCTATTGGACAATTCAAAACAGAATACATCCATATCATCTGGTTTCAAGTGATGATCTAACCAACCGATAGCAAGTGACAATGGTTTATGATATTCAGTCTTCCATATGCAAATGAAGAGACGATCAGCTATCATTTTAGCCGAAAGAATACGTTCACAATTCAAAGGATTGACAATAGTTAAAGCAACAAAATATTCCTCAAGTGTTCGATGAAGAAATCCATACGCGTCTAATCCTTGTGCTGTTGCGAAACCCACAACATTTGACGATAAAAGATTAACAAAGTCTCCAACTTGTGTATTCAATTTATCATTCGACATATGAACATGATGTTTCTGTTGTTGAAATGCTTGAAGAGATATAAAAACTAATCGGATAAGATCGAATTTATCGATCCAACCGGATGGACAATTTTCATATAGATGTACAGCTAAATCTCGAAGAATCCATTCAATAGATGCTGCATTCAACTTTGTCTTATTTGATGAAATCCAACTCTCTATCATAACCTTTTTAGTTGAGTCATAAACAGAAATTTCAGATGTGAAATCAATCTGATTTATATCATTGTGTACAAGAGATGATAGAGCTACGGACAATAAAATCGGATGGGATAATAAACGAGATCGTGTTGCTAAACAGAAAGCTTTTTTCCATAGCTTTTCTCTGATTTTCTTCAATTTTTCTCGATTAAACTTGAAACGATTTTCATTACTGATGTAATTAATAAGCGCATTATCTACATTCACAAGCCAATTACGAATAAATAATTCAACTTCTTGCTTATTCATTGATGTTAGATAAAAATGTGCAATTAAATTACTCTGAATTTGTACGAGACCATATCCTATGATGCGTGATGTAATAATAACTTGATTTCTTTCGAGCAAAAACTCAGGATAATCATCTAAGTATCCGCCCCATTTTTCTACAATATTTTTATCATCCTTCATGGAAATAAATGATGACGTTTGAACATATTTTTCTAGAAATATTTCTATTAAATTAACAACTTTTTTTCGTTGTTCATAATTCAAAACTTTATCTAAACCATCGAAAAGAATGAGTGCATGACCATGATGAATAAATTCATGAAGAACTTTTGAATCATTTGTTTCTGAATAACGATTACCGTACCACGTATGTTGACCAATATAGTCCAATAATGAACAGTCAACATGAGAATCTAGCCAAGTGACAAACTCGCCTATTCTAATCAATATGGGTACTCGTGCAACTGATAAAATAGGACAATTAATAAGTCCTATTTGTGTTGCTAATAGCTCCCATTCTTTTCGTTCTTCTAGCAAAAAATGTTCTGTTTCTCCTTGACGAAGAAAATGAGCATATTCAAGTGTGAGCCAACGTAATAATGTTGTCTTTCCGCTGCCAGGACCTCCTAGGATCACTGACCAACGATAATTTTGTAGAATAGATAAAATATTTTTTAGTAAGATACCACGTTCGAGAGAACGATCATCAATAGAAGGAAGAAAATAAGCAACTTCTCTATTCTCATTGTTCGACTTAAGGGAAGTGTCACAGTTTACTAGCGTTGCACAGGCAAAACGAAGAGGCATCTCAATATCGCGTATGAATGTATCCAAATTAAGTGCAGAAAATGAACACTCTTCTGCACTAATTTGTCTTAAAAGCTGACGCACGTCCTCTATTCTAATACTTAGCGGAACAGAAAGATTAGAATGAAAAGAAATACATTTGTCAACATATTCCTTTAGAAATAGATAATGTTCCTCACATAACTCACTTAATGTCTTTTTTCGACCATTGATTCGTACGAAGTATTCTTTCTTGCGTTGTTCGAGTTTGTTTTCAAAAGTTTTCACCTGTAAAAATGTCGAACGTATATGTGAATTAGATGTTGGCATACGACCATGCAGAATGTATTGACATTCATCAGCATGCTGTTGCCAAAGATCTTCAAGTACAAATCTTTGCAGACGAATATTTTCTTCTTTTTGTTCTTCTTCTTTTAGATTATCGTTTTCATTATCTTCATCGACTTCGAGAAAATATTCGGAAATTTTTTCGGCTCTAGTCAGTGTTCTTAGTAATCGACGTAGAAAAACTTTTTTCCATAAACTATTAATTTTTTTGATCTTCTTTTTATGTTTCATTAAACGTTTCACCGTGTTGATCACATCTTCAAGCATCCGATTGCTTACTTGTTGATGTTTTTGGCAGTGATAATTAACATATGTTGCAGTTTTTTCTTCGAATAATTTTAAACGTCGAAGTAAATTGTACGCCATTATTCTAATTTACATTAGATGAATCTATAAATAATATCAGAGTTGTTGTTTTATCTTCTAATTACATTAAATTGAATTTTAAAAAGAGAGACTTTCATAACATGCAGAAATATAAAGGACACTGAATAAAATTTAAACGTAGATATCTGATGATTGAACAAAATCGATATTTATCATCGTGATCACACACTTAATATGTAACTTATAATATCAACTCTATGACTCATGTATTTCTGCTTGTCCATCAACAACACACACGGTTAGAGCATATATATTCTGTCTGTTGAAAAGCAACATAAAATGAAGACCTGCTTATTTAGCAACAGAACACATGAAAGCGATTGTTTTCAAATTCTTCATGATTTACAATATTTTTTTTTCTGTTCTTTTCAGTACAGACACGCATACATAATTATTGGTAGTCATTTCTGTCCGTGTTGTTAGCATCATAAACAAAAAAATTGCAAAACATGTGTGTTGCAAGGAAGTAACAGAAATTTCTCACACTAACGAGGTCGACTTTTCTCAATGACTGCATCAGATGCTTTTGCGTGTATTTACAATGCATGCAATAAACACGCAGGAGAGAATAGTATGAGCAGATGTGACGTGTGTGAAAAAAATAATCAACATCCATATTCATACACTTGAAAGAAACACTTTTTCTATCGTTCATTAATTAAATATTTTTAAATATTTCATATCAATATGCTTTTTCTTCTTCAATTTTTCTTTCAAGATATTGGAGAACAATTAAGAGAGTCTCCATAAGAACACCAAGGATGATCCTAGCATAAGAAGTACTCGAAAAGAGATTTTTTTTTAATTTTTTAAGCATTCGAACCATCAATGTCTGAAACTACCAGCCTGAAACCTTTAGCCTTTAATATTCATCCCTCAAAAAGTTAGCCAATACCAACATTAAGTACCATCATACTTTTACAAAAGAAAACTGTAAAAATTATTTTATAAAAGTTGTGCCGGGTTGGGTTCCAGTAGATCATGCAAACCTTCTATAGAATACATCAAAAGATAGCTCATCAGCAACTGAAAAAAAAAATGACGTACTTATAATATTGTATATCATCTATTTATTTAAGTTATATAGCCTAACAAGAGTGGACACTGACACAATTCATGAGCCTATGACGTATGTTATGTAACTCTTGCTATTGTACAAAATAATTAAAAAAATATTGGAAAAAAGAGTATGCTTGACCCAAAAAATGGCTAAATTGCTAAATTACAATTACAAATGAACTTCGATCATTTGGCTGTTACTAGAATCTCAACCTTTACCATTCGAAATGATCATCACTCGATTACACGAATAAAAGATTTTTCAATGTCCTTCTAGCCGTGTTCAGATGCAGACAGAGGTCAAAATTTTCTCTTTTATATTTTCTTAAGGAAACTATTCGTGTCATTCTATTCAGCATGAAGTTCTAATTTATCTGAGATAAAAATTTTCATCAATAAATGACATTTAATAGCATCTAGAACAGTTTTCTGTCAGAGAATCCGCTTAGTTATGGGTACTGTTAGCCACTTTTCGGATCAAGCATACCCTTTTTTTTCCAATATTTTTTGACATTTTGTACAGAATCAAGAGGTGCATAACATACGTCATAAACACATAAATTATGTCAGCATCCACTCTAACTAGGCTATATAAGCTCAATAAATAGACGACATACCATATTTTAAATACCTCATTTTTTTTCAGTTACTTATGATCTGCTGAAACGCAAACAGATACAACTTTTATAGAATAATCTTTCCTGCTTTTTTCTTATAAAGTTATGATGGTACTAAATGTCGGTATGGACTAAATTTTCGAAGAACGGACACTAAAAGTTAATATTTTCAAGTTAGTAATTTCAGACATTGACGGTTCGAATGAGCAAAAAAAAAGTCTCTTTGTCGAGTATAGACGATGTGGAAAACATATTTCCCATGAACAATTTTCATTATACCACATAAAAAAATATCATATAAAGTAAATTAGACGTATAAATATTTTTCTTTGGTCGCATTCGTAACAATGTATTCTTTTGTTTATTTTGCGGGTGTTTATACATCCATTTCTGTACATAAAATTCTATCACTTTTTCTTTTATCTTAATTCATGTGATTAATGAAGCCTATAAAGATTGTTGGCTTTACTCCGTTGGCTGTTATTTTAGCTGAACGATTTACTTATCAACTAAATAATAAATCCGAATGTTATTCAGAATGTAAGTCTTATTGAACAAGAATCTTTCTTATTTGTTGACGTTCAATAGCAAAATGTTAGTCTTTTATGTTTAATTAATTTATTAAAATAATCTCGAATGTTATTATCAAATAATACAAAATTATCAACACAATGTATACAAAAGTGTCATTTAATATTATTAAAACAGCGTCAAATTAAATTTGAATTATTAAATTATTCGACCGATGACGATGATGATGAAAGATTAGAAGAAAATTTCATTGAATAAACATGTATTAAATTCATGAAAAACAATGTTAAATTAAATTATTTATCGAATAATTGAATTAAATCATCCGAACGATTACTTAATATTTAATAAATTTGAATTAATAAGAAAAAAGAAAAAAAACCTTGGCAGTCATATTTTTGCTCATCAATAACCATTAGATTTTCATTCAATGATAAACATGGTTTAACATATATGACCTATATTCATTTGTCTTATCATGATTTTAATCAAAACCTTCATTCAAATGCATTTCATACGATTTTTCAATATCTTCTATCATATTCATCACTCAAATTCATTGGTCCTGTTATGTTTGCGTGTGAATTAGCTTATCTTTTGTCATCATTTGGACATAATCAAATTTATTTCTGTTGAATGAATTCACATGAAACATCATTAATACCTATCATAGATACAAATACCAATCTATTCACTCTATTTCAAGTTCTTTTCGAAATTTATTCATGAATCATTAATACAAAAAGTTTCTAATAGAAATCAACAAGCAATATTACATATTATTGAAAAATATCATCGAGTTAAAATGAATTTAAATGCTGAAGGACAAATAGAATATGAAAAATTTACAGAATTCATCAATATTTATCTATAAAACAATAGAAGAAAATATGAAACATAAACGAGCATATTTAGAAATATTCATATTAGTATGATCAATGTTTTTTTTTTTTTTGTATTTAATTTTATTAATTTTTCAAGATGAAAATATAGAAGTTAAAGAAGAAGTATTAAATTCTTTTCCACCGTCTTCAACATTTGTTTTATTCTAATCGATATTATAACATCGTTACATTTAAAAATATATAGGAAACTATTACCATCATTTCCAAAAGCAATACCTACTTTTAATAGTACTCCGGATTCATTAATTTTAAATATATATGAAATATTACAAAAAATTTTTAATGATGAAATCATTCTTCAACTAACTAATATATTTCTCACGGTTGATCGTGAACTTTGTGTCATAAAAAAATCAAACAACAAGTAAATCTATAAGTCTGCAGAATGTTTCAAAAGTCCTTGAGAACACAAAGAACATAAATAACTTTTGAACAGTACAAGTCATTCATGTGAATTTTCTTCAAAGTTTTGTTTCACATAACTTTATTTGCGTTCGCTATTTAAAATGCTCGCTCTAAAATGAAACATTAGATAGAATTTCCATTGAAACTATTGCAATTTTTTTTTTCTCACAAATTCTTCTTGTTAATTCAATCTGATTTTGAAAATGGTATCGGTTGTGAAAAATTCAGATTGGTTTCATTTCTGACTAAGTCCAATAAATGTGAAACTCATCGAAGAATTTTTAGCCTCTTTCATCTCTAAAAAAATATCGACAGCACTTATAAACTGATGTACTTTATTATCGAAACGCGAAGATATTTCATGTTGAATTCTATCGTCATTTTAAATGCTATTAAAAAAGAAAACATTTTCAAACAAACAGAACACTTCTTGTTATGCTCAAATATCAGTTTCATAAAAGCGGTTAGGGATCTCTTTAATACCATCTTTGTTTACTGTGTTAAATTCGACTGACATGATTCGTGTTACAATCGTTGGAGATTTAAATTCAGCCATTGATAAAGAAACATTGAAAGAAGTTACAGACAGCAGATAAAAATCACTTGGACTGTTGAAGAGTTATTCAAGTTTTTCTTTATCCCGACGAATCTTTTGTATTAGATCTTATCGTGCTTTTAAATAATCTTAACTAAAAATTGTCAATTTGAAATGAATAAAATTCTTCAATCTTAACAATATGATTTAAAACGATCTGTAGAAAATCTTCATAATTTACATCAAATTATATAACGACCTGTAAATTAAATGGATGAGGTAAAAATACAAATATATTTGTTTGTATTTCAACTCTTGTTGTCTATAGTTAGTATTATATGAATGACAACTATTGCAAAACGATGCACTTGATTTACAATCTTTATTAATATTATTCAATCCTCAACAAGAAATTCTTCATAATGAGCATGATTGGCATAATCTATTAACACTGCCTGTTTATATAACAATTGTATAACAACAATCAACGATCGAATAAATCATAATAAACCGACAGTATGAAACGCGATCTATGGACAAATAAGACGATTGGTTTATATTTGTCATCAGCTGTTTTGTTTATTTCTCTTTTTCTTATTTTGATATTTCTGTATGTTATAAATATGTTCTAAAGATTTTTAATAATCTTTATATTTTCCCTATTGTATTCATATTTAGAATAGTTCAAATTTCTAATTCCCTCTATCTCACAACACAATGATGATGTAATTAATTGACGTTACTACTTCTGTAAAAGGTTAACAACGAAATCAAATATAAAATTTTAAGAAAAGATACATAAAAATTTAGTTAATTTTTGTTTGTAAATTATTAAAGTTGTTATTTTTCATGTGTATCTATTGATTGATATTATTTAAAAAAGTAATAAAAATAAAATATTCTTTATTTATCAATCATATATATATATAACTAACGAAGGACAAGTGTTATTCTCTATGAATAAGAACGAAGATCTTTCAAGGTGATTGAACTTTGACATTTTATTTCTCTTCTTCTTTTTTTGTTTAGACAAGAGGCTTTCTATGATTATTTTGCAACATTGTTTCGTATTTTAGATATACGTAAGAGAGAATGAATATGAAATCTCTTGTATATAAGTGTTTATTGAAAATCAAGTGTTGTTATTAATTTTTCTTTATAATTTTTTTTTTTTAGATCTTTTCATTTGACTTCTTCATTCACTCACACATACTCTCTCTCTCTCGACTTGATCAATCATCGATATATTCAAGTAAGTCATACTCTAGTAGTAGTATCAATATCGATTTGTTCACGCGCATGTGCTTTTATATTGAAAATGATTTGCCGCCGTCGCCGCCGCCTAGACTATAAACGATTAATTGATTTGTTTTGTTCGTGTTGCTTTTCTGGATCATCTCATTTCTTTCTCTCTCTCTCTATTCTTATCATCTATCGAATGTCATTCGCTATATATAAAATAATCGTTTTTCACCAATTATTTACTGTTCAGGCAAAAGATAAATGAACAGGTTATTTGTATATACAATGAGGTTTTTAAGTAGATCAAACAATATATACCGACAATATTGTAGAATTAGTGATCATGAAATAGAAACAGATTGTTATCTATTATTGTCTATCTAATGATGTCTGTTATTGCTCGAAATAAAGATGAAAAATAAATTCAAATGAGAATATGTTTCTGCTTTGACAATATGATCTGATTGACAATACAATTTTCTACGGTGACAGCAGACGAAGATAAAATCAGAAACAGACTGACATAAACATATGTAGATTCTGTATGTGACGGACTTGATTGTCAAGAGTAAATCACGGGTCAGACAAATTCTCTTTATCTCAACAGGAAAGCTCTCACACTTGTTGATTCATTCAAATTTTACCATCTGCATGTCCTTATGTATAACGTACAAGAATATAGAATTTATTCAGTTTTCATATCATGCCGTGATGATGATTGAATGACTGTTCATTTGACAAAAATTTCTTTTTCTTGAGTAAATTCATTTACTCACAGCATGAAATATTCTTATTCAGGTGTAGCATTGTCATTATTTTGTTCATCTACCATCAATAATCATTTGTTGTATACATGAAGATATGTATAAAGTGTTTCATATTCTTCTATTCTCTTAAGTTTTTTTTCTTTCTCTCTCTCTCTCTCTCTCTTCTCTTTTTCTTTGCGTTTCTTTCCTCTCTCTCTCTCTCGTTCGATGTTTGTTCGCTAACACATAGCAAAAGAAGAAAAAAAAAAGGCAAGCAGAGTGTATAACGAGCAGCACAATGAAGGTGTAAAGTTAAAATTAGTTGTTCATACACTCACACAAGTTAATGATGACATCGTCAGTATCATCTTCACCATTATCTTATACTTCACCAACACCAAGTCCTGAATTAATTAAAATAAATTCAAATAATAGAACATATCATATTGAAATTGGACTTACAATTTTATTTCTTTGTTTAACTATTCCAAGTTTATTTTTTTTAACACTTATCTATCATCGTGAAACAACATTTATTTCAACATCATCATTAACAACAACAGTCAATTCTTCTTTGATTAAATCAACATTACAGAAAAATTTCTATCGTAAATCCTTATTTAATTATCCTCAAGCACGTTGTATGGATGATAGTATTGCTTCATATTATATACGTTTATCTAATAATAATAATTCATATTGGTTAATCTATTTTGATGGTGGTTGGTTTTGTTTTTCAAAAGAATCATGCAATCTTCGTCGTATATATTCACCAAATTTAATAACATCAAATAATATAAATGAAAAGACAACTTTCATTGGAATATTTTCATCATTAAAACAATATAATATTATTTATGTACCATATTGTTCATCAGATTTATGGTCTGGTTCATCAAATAAAACTCATTCACATGGTTATGATATATTTCATGCTATATTTGATGATTTAAAATTTGATAAACAATTTCAAAAAGCTAAACAAATTATATTTACAGGTTTTTCAGCCGGTGGTCTTGGACTTCTATTAAATTTACCTAATTTATTAAAAAAATTTTCTTCAACAATTGATCTTCGTGTTATTATTGATTCAGGTTGGTTTATTGATTATCCGGGTAGTATTAATGGTATATCAAAAATCAATGAAGCTATGATTTATTGGAATACACAAATACCATCAACATGTCAATTAAAACCACAATATAAATGTTTCTTAGGTAGCGAAGCTATACGTTTATTTCCTTCACATGTATCTATATTAATAATACAATCATTATTTGATCAAACACAATTACATTTAGATAAATTATATATTAATTCAAATGATTTTTCTTTGAAACTTATTGAAAATCTTCGTCAATCAAGTAATCGTATATCGATATTTGCACCAGCATGTTCAATACATGGATTTTTATTTCGTTCATTATGGTCACAATTTGATATTGAACAAAGAACACTTGCTTCTGTACTTAATATATGGTTAAAAAGAACAAAAAGAACTCATGTTCAATTAATTGATCATCATTTTGATTCAAGTTTTTGTCCGTATAGAGAAGATGATGATGATGATGATGGGATATAATAATAATAATAATAATCTTTCGTTTGTGTTTTTTTCTTCTTTCTTTATTGTTGTATTTGTCCATGTAAGCATTTCTCTCTCTCTCTCTCTCTCTCTCTTTTGTGTATTTCATGAAAAATGAATATAATAAGAACAGTATTTAAAACATATTCACACTTGAAAATATATATGTTCATAATCGATCATCATATTATTTGAAAAAAATATTCGTTTATGTGTTTGTTTTAATCTGATGCCGCTTTTTTGGTTACCAATTTAAAAAGCTACTTTCAAAACGATTATCGCGCGTGTATACTGCCGCTAATATGGAAGAAGGAGAAACAGATTAGGTTACCTGGAGAGTTATACATGTATAATATTGTATGTACATATAGCAAAGAGACAGAAAAAAAAAATAAAGAAAAATCAAAACGTCCTCAGTCGGACATTAGATGAAATGTAGGTTGTTATTCTTTCGATTGTAGTAGTATGGCGGCGACGGCGGTGACAACAACTGCGATAAGAGAATTAATTGAAACCGTACAAAATGAATTACATCACGAAATAAATTGTGCTCGCTACCTGACATGAATATCACAAAATCATCATTAGTGAATCGTTGTCTGTTAGAATAGAGAGTAAGATTATGATCATTAGTGTATATGAGAGTCCAAGTATACACGCTTGAGAATTGCGTAAGAAGATCATCTTATGTTATATTCACTCGCTTCTTCTTCTTCTTCTTGTCTATTTTTTAACTCACGCATTTACTCCTATTAGCGATAGAATGGCAATGACGAAGCGCATGTAAAAAAGTAAAGACATGATAAAATAGACAGTAGGGGTGCAAAATGATTATCTCACACATTTTTGTTTTTCTTTTTTATAAACATATATCGTCATGGGATAGAACTACTGCCAATGATTGAATATATATACTATACATATGCATCAGTATCATGTAAGAGATATAACAATGACAACTATGATTGACAACGAACAGAGTAGATAATGAGACTGCCTATTGAGTATAGTGTTGATACTCATTTATGTACATATTTATTGAATAAGATTATTAAGACAGCTTCTTTTTTTTTATGCGTGTATATATTGTTGTTCTACTATTTAACTAATGTTAAACGCAGAGAAAAGAAAACAATGTAAACTTGGAATTTCGTTACTTCATATTGAAAGAAAGCAAATGAAGGCAAATATATACTTTAAATAGCCGGATATTGATCTCGTCAGTGTCAAATGACGATACACATGATGTGAAAAAATGTCCATCCGTACATATATGTATTGACAAATGTGTGAGCGTGTTTCTTTCACACACAAACACATATATCTACATACTCATTGAGATTCCCGGTTACAAACAACTTCATCTTTTTTTCGAGAGTAACTGTGAGCATACATGTATGTATGTTTGTGTAATAAATCTCTAAAGACTAGATTTGAACAGAACAATCTATTACACAAGGGAATCTTAGATAATGATCTTTCGACATATGCCTATAACAAAGAAAATACTATCGGAAATAAAACTTGTAATCGTAGATGATGATGAATGCTTTTAAGATAGATATAGATACTAGAGCACTACCGCCAATATAGATATATATATATATGCTAGCATTTGATAGCTACTGTTGACATTGAAGAGAGAATATGTTACATATACTAAATGAAGAAAAAAAGGAGTGTATCTCTTCTTGTAACAGCTCGAATCCATTAACGCGCATATACTCAAGAGGATTTTTAAGAGAAGAAAAAATCTCATATTACTTAACGCACATATATACATATAGCGATTGAGTGTCTCTCTCGTCTAGTCTTGTCTTGAGAGATACGCACAATTTTATTGTAGTACATGACTAGATCGAGTACATAGATAAGAACGTCTCACAACAAAAGATTGTTCTTTAATTTTTCTTTTTTGTGTATATAGACATCCTTGATTTGTTGTTCTTCTTCTTCTTCGTTTTAATGTTGATGATAGTAAAAAGAAATTCATTTTCTACACTGTAATTCGAATTAATAAGAGAAAGATTGAACAATGTGATCAAATTAGAAATATGATGACAGGTCACACTCAATTTTCATGTACAACCCATTTAATTGTAGACTATAAACCAAAAACAAAAAAGAAAAAAAAAAGAACGGCAATGTACACATTCAATTTGTTGCCATTAGATTCAACCATGAAGAATAAAAGTAATAGCAGCGGCATTGACACGTCGAATAAATTGAATACTGAAGAATGTTCAATAAATGAATTAAAATCACAAATAGCTCAGATATTTTCATTATCAAATAATTCATTTGGTACGTTGATATTAAAATTACAAAAAACTAAAAAGAAATTGGTATTTCCTTCTTTTCTTTTTGGATGAATAAATATAGATGTATATTGTCAAGGTGTACAATTAATTGGGGATGATAAAAATCTAAATGATTACGAAATTGAAAATGAAGATAATTTATTAATTGTACCGAAAGTTCAATTACCGAATGAATCCTGTATGATAAATTCAGCTGGTAAAATATTTTATCAAGGAAAATGAGAAAAGTTTCAAGTTCTAATAAATGTTTTTTCTTAATGAATAGGATTACTAAGTAAAAATGAACTTCATCAAAGTTCAAAAACAATTGAAAAATCAGCTACACCCAATGAATTTCATCGAGTAAGAAAAATATTAATGAAGAATATTCGTATTTTTTTTGTTTTGTTTATAAAAATAGCTTTATTGGCTAATGAAAACACCAGATTTTTGGCGACGAATAACTCAAGTGTTACCTGAATTATTACTTGATTCAAGTGCATTAGGTAATATAAAGTGCTCGCAATTAAAAATTTGAGCAAAAGTTTTTTTTGTTTGTTATGGCTGGATAGAGTTTATCGAATTATCTATAGAAATAGTATTTGTATAGTGAAACTTACGTGCCAGAAAATCAGAAAAGCTCGTAAAAATTGAAATGCGTTAAAAGCATAAAGTCTCAGTAGTCTTAATATTTTTCCGATTTTATGCATCATATGGTTAGAAAAAAAAGCTTATGCATGCTTTTTGAACAATATTGTTCAAAAAATAGGTTTTCCTATATGCCAGCAGAAAATTCATAAATACGAGTTTATGTTTAAAGTTTAACTATCAGAATGTCAGTTCCGAAAGAAAAGAATATCATATTTTGAATTAGTGCAAAGATGTACATCGAATACTATGCCTAATATTCAAAACTAATTTACGTCAAATTTTACTACTTACACCTTGTCATTGTTATTTTCGAATACTCAGACATGTGCGGCGTCCTCTAAGGTCAAAATTTGATGAAAATTAGTTTTAACTATTGAGTATACTATTCGATGTAGATTTTTGCGCTGATTCTAAATATGATATTCGTTTCGTTTTCTTGCAATTGAAATTCAGAAGGTCAAAGTCTCTCTAAATAAAAACTCATATTCACGGGTGTCTTGATATCATATGAAAGCTACCGAGACTTGATGCTTATCATACATTTCAATTTTTATCGATTTTTCTCATCTTTTTAAAGCTAAGTTTTACTACAAAAAAAAAAAAATTTTGCTCAAATTTCGAATTGTCGACACTTTACTTAGAAATAAAGAATCATTTAACTAATACAGAAAGATTTTCTTTTTTTGCATTTAGGCCTATGTGAAGATTCAGTACTCTTCTGTCAAAATTACAATGTTAAACGTCTTACTGAAATTGTGGAAGCTAATCCATTATTATATAAAGCAGTTATTCAAGTACTTAAAGAATGGACATCAAGTAATAATCCAACAAATTCTAATGATGTACAATTATCACCAGGTAAAATTTTGTTTCTTTATAATTGAATTCATTCAATATGATTCTATGCTTGTATTTAGCTGCATACTTTTTAAATGGTAGTCCTCATTTAATAGAACCAGTTGCACCACGTCAACCAACATTTAATATCATGCCTCGTCGTATAACAAATGAAGATTTTTATCGTGCACTTGAACAAACAAATCGATCGACTACGGCTACTACAACTAATAATTCTCGTCCATCGAATATTCCACTTCAACAAACATCAAGAACATCAAATCGTCGTAATATAATTAGTATGGATCAATTACGAAATGTCTTACAAAGAACTTCAACAACATCAGAAACAAATCCATCAACACCAATGGAAAGTTCTGGAAATGAACCAACAAATGCACAAGCACTTCTTGATCAAATGTATGCTATGGGTCTAACTGATCAAACAGCGAATCGACAAGCACTTGAAGCAACAAATTGGGATTTAAAAGCAGCACTTGATTTATTACTTGGATAAACTATTTCTTTTTTAAATAAAATTATAATTTAGAATTAAAAAATATTTCTTTTTTTATCATATCATGTTTTGAAATACGAGAACAGAACAAAATTGTAATCGATGATCTAATATTTACTTTTAATGTTGAAATTTGTGCGCGAAATATGTTCTAATCAAAAAACGATTGCCTTGATTCTATTATGCATCTTCATTTTAATTCAAGTATTCTCGATTATATACATCTGACACCACCAACTTGGTCAATTACAATAACTGCAATGAAACTTTGTTCAATTCTTTTTAATTTACTTGATATTGATAATAATAATCGTCTTGAAGAATATCAAATTCGAGCATTACTTATTTATTTGACTAATATGCATAAAAATCAAATGTCAACTATTATTTATAAATTAGGTATCAAATAATAACGAGTCATTGAGAAGTAATTGACAATATGTATATTCATTTCTTCAGTGTATAGAGAAATATAAAAAACATTGAATTTTTTAATCAAAGTTTTGTATTGTTTCAGAATATAGATTCAACATTTTTGTCGAGAATTGATAGTTTTCGAGAAAGAAAGCAATAATTGATCATATATTTGACAAAAAACACAATTTTGAATTCATTTTCCATAAAACTCAATTTGAAAATATGTGATTTGATCACATATAGTATCGCACGAGAATGAGGTTGACATGTGAGAAGTGAAACTTAACTCCATGAAAGGAATTCTTAGATAATCTCGTTGGTTAATGATCATTGAATATTGACATTTATATTTTGAATTTATAGAAATATTACAACAAAACGAAAATCGTAGCAGATAAAAATTAGAAAATAAGGAAAAATTATAGAGGATTATAGGAAATTTTCAAAGCAACTACTACTTATTCCTGTGTAAAACTTAATGCTTAATTAGAAGAGATCACCAAGCTTTCATATTTATACTCATATCTAAGGTTTTGTTGCCCTGAAATAGATTGTAAGTTATTTGTCCGTAATGCTAAGGAAATTTTTTTGACCGGTTTTATTTTTCAATATTGCGACTGATTGTCACCAATCCGTTTAGAATTTATGAATCAACTTTGTTGAAGCGCGAAAATTAAGTTTAAATGGAGAAAATTGACATTTTTTGTTAATAGAATTCAATGCGAGATTGTTCTCTGTAAAGTGATATAAGGATTAAGAGTTTTGAGAACAATTATTCAGGAATGATTGAGTTCACATTTCAAGTGAGTTGTTCATAGAACAAAAAAAAATTGCTTAAATTGACATGGTGTGTCTTACCAAAATACCATTTTATAGAAAAATATTTGCTCTTTCATTGGTCGTATTTGAAATCTACTTTAATTAAAGTTTTGGTGTGCTGAAGCTTGTCCATACTCGATTAACAGACCTGGAAAAAACCAATTCATAATTATTAAACTAGAATTTCAACAAAAATATAGAATTCATAATCGAAAAGAACACAAAAAATAAAAAACAAATATTTTGTCAAATTATTTTTCTATGATATATACTGTTTATTAATCTGATATTAAAATACTTTTTTGAATATAGATCTTGATCGATCCGGTGCTATGGAATTAGAAGAATTTTTTCTTCTAATCACTTTACTTTTAGCTAATAAAGTATAAAATTCGATGAAATAATTTTATTATTCTTTTCTTTCATAAATATTTTTTATATAGGATAAAAAAGAAAAAGAATTTATGCATGCTCATTCTAAAACTGTTTTTGAATTACTTGATGAAGATAGTTCAGGTACAATAACAGTTGAAGAATTTCAACGTCTTGGATTTTTATTTAATCTCGATAATAGAGAAATTCGTATTATATTTAAAGATTTTGATATAAGTGGTGATGATGCACTTGATTATTCAGAATTTCGTATGTTTACATTAGCTTGTATCAAAAAACAGAAATCAATGAAAAAGAAACGTTTCAAAATATTACTTCAACGTCGTTTTAGTTTTCTTGCTAAACAACGACAACCAATTCTTAAATATATTAATCAAACAATTAATGAATGTGTTCCGTAAGTAAATCAACACATATAAATAATAAAATCTTTGTTAAACAAACAAAGCTTTTAGCGCAATTCTTGCAAAATTAAAATTTGAAGCGTACTTAACCCTCGAGTCTATGATTATATATTAGCAACGTCTCTTGCAGTCTGTAAGGAGGCAGAAACTGTTGTGCATCCAAGCGGATATTAGATGAAAAAAATGGAAATGAACTTTTCATCAATTCAAATGGTAATAAACATATTTCCGGATATGTTCTATCTTTTGGTAGAAAAGTTTTTCTTACGAATGTCAAGTAGAGATGAAAGTTCGCCAATGAAAGCTTGGTTTGAAAATATGCCTATTGTTAGAAAATTTAAGTTCTTGTGTAAGACTTCTGAGCGAACCTCTTGAGCCGATGAACGACAGAAACAGCACATATTCGAAGTTAGCTCAATGTTTTCTATCAATTCGTACAAAGGGTTTAAATTTAAGCTGATAAATATTTAAGAACAAGTGAAAATATTTTCTTTGGTAATTTTTCGACTTGTAGAAGTTAGTAAAATGAGTATAACATCCTTAGTTAGGATTCAAACTCGTTCAAGCTTTGTCAACGTATTCATCTATCTAAACTCTATCAACGCATTTAGCACAAACATATATTTCAGAGCTTAGATACCGGTTTTTCAAGAAACCATAGATTTCTATGAAGTTCCTATTTTTCCGGCTCAGAAATGTTATATATTACACAAGACCATTACTAACTATAACATTTTTTTTCCAAAACACGTGAGCAAGAATTCCTCTCAGATATTTTACGTTGAAAAATTCTTTATTTTCTCAGTTATATGCAGTTACTTCTGAGCAAAAGACATCTGTTTCCAAGAATGGAAATTACATGTCCGTCTTCCATGTGAAAAATAAATGATTGTTAAAAGAAATTTTTCAAAACAAATCAAATATTGAATATTATTATTTCAGCGGTTTAATTATCTACGATCAAGATGATACTATTCCTTGTGTTACTCTTCCAATGGATATAAAATTTCGTTGTCCACAATCAAATCCATATCATCAAAAGATAAATTCTATTGATACGAATTCCTTATTGATAAAAACATTAAATTATGATGATGAGGATATTTTTTCTGATATGTTTGAATCAATTTATATTCAACAAACAAATGATAGTCGATTGACAAAATCACAATCATTTTCGTCAAGTCATTATTCATTATTTAACTATTAAAAAAGAAACATATCAAACGTCTCTTGAATGTTACTCATGTAGTTATATTTAATGTAGAATATTATTTTGGTGTTTGTGATTTAGAAGTTTTCGTACTACTGGATTTAATTGATCGATGTTTTTCCGTTGGTGGACGTAATACTTCTTGTTCGTCAGTAGTAGTTTGCATTTTTTTAATTTCTTCTTTCACATAGGTTTGAATTAATTTACGAACTTCAATCAATTGAGGATTTTCCTCATGTTCTATAGAAATAAATAATCATCATTCAAATATAATTCTTGTATGATATTACTTTCTTGTTGTTGACTTTGTTTTTCTTCATCGTCTATAATTGTATTGACATCTTCTGTTTCTGTTATTGTGACATGTTCTTGTTCTTCATCTTCTGTTTTCGGTATTGCTCGAGTCATTCCATCATAAGTTAAGTTTAAATTAAAATCAATCTAAATATAAAACAAAAACAATTTTATATTATTTTTACTAAATGAAAATATATTTACCGTTGGAGTAAAAATAAATTTATACATTTTATAATGACGAAAATATGTATCAACAATATAATCAGTTATTTGTTTAGTTCCATCTACTGTAAATATACGTAAACTATGTGGTGGTCTCTAGAAAAAATGAATACAAATATCTGAAAAAAAAGTAATTGATAGATGTAAATGCTTACAGATAATGAATGTTTTAAAACAAGTCCTTTGAAATATTTATAAGTTTCTTCCATATTTGCAAAAGGTGTTTCTAAAATTGATTTTTAAAAGAATGAAAAATATTTTTTAGATATATATTAAATGACATACGAATACACATTTCATGAACACGTTTAATAATACTTATAAATGTTGAGATCTGTTCATGGTTAAATTTATTTGTACGAGCAAAATTTAGAGCATAGTAATATAGATCACATAAAATTGTTGTACGCTTAGTATTTGGTTCAAGATTGAAAATTTTTATAAAAAAACTAAAATAATTATTATGATAAGTATTTTATTTATAATATAGAAAATTTGAAATCATACTTATTTATACTTTCTGCATCATTTAATTCTTCCAATTTTCTTACTTGATCATGGGAAAGATCAGTCCTAAACATTAAAAAAGAAATCAAAGAATGTTTCTTTGAAATTCTATATACCAGACAACAATAGTTGGTTTTGGAACAGTTGAATTCTACAATCGATAAAAAAATTTTTTTTTTTTTGATATTATAATTACATTTTAATTTACTTACATCCATAGTTTAACTAAGGTATTTCTTTTTCGTTAGTGCCAAGTGTAGAAATGATTGCCATTTAAAATTAACAATACTTTCATTTCCTAGGTAACAAAGTGATGGCGCCACCGGAAACTATCCATATAATTGATCGATAATTTGTTGTAAAATCTTATGATTCTTTTAATTTAAAGTAACTTTCGAATTATTGACAGACATAAAGCACTTTTATTGATTCTCAAATTAGTGAAAGATGAAGCTATACATTCAATGATTCAAGTACAATTTCGTAAATATCTTCATAATAGGTTTAAAAAAACTTTAAAAAAATGATTTATCATATATATACATATATACTGATATCTAGTCGTTTGTAGACATTAATCTGGATATTAGTTTTCAATATAATAATTTACTATGTTTATTATCACAGTTCATTTTCGAGCATACCTTTAAGACTAGTAAAAGGAATAAAGAAAAAGTTACAAACTTCGAAAGTATAACCATGAAATTATACTACATACTTCTTAATTATTCTGATATTTGCTGTTTCTCGCTGCAGAAGAAACTTCATTGATATGAGTATCTTTTAATATTCATATTAATATCGTTGGTTGATGAGGGGGAAAAGTAAAAAAAAAAACATTTGCATTAGGTATTATGAACTATTATGTATATCGGCTGAATTGCGATCGTATTGTACCGTTAGCAGAAAAAAATAAAAGTGAACATGTAGATAATTTGACTTGCATACTCAATAGAGCTGTAATTCGTTGTATACCAATTGGGTATTTTTCCAACTGCCAGATTTTTCATTTCAGAAAAAAAACGAGCTACCTGAGTATGTGTATGCTCAGATATTTGTTGACAGGTAAAATTTTTAAATTAGTAGTTTTTACGTTATTGTTGTATATCAATCGAATTATTTTGAAAGTATTAATCTAATATGAAAGCAAAGAAAAATAAACGAAAACATCTAGGCTGATTCGCGGCAAGAAACCAACTCATTGATGGTCAGAAACTAGTATTTTATGAATAATTTGCAGGATAATGATGAAAAAGACCGTCTTTCTGTTATTATAAAATATTTCAGTTTCTTGTGTTGAAATCAAGTCAAAAAACAACTCCTGACAATATTCCAAGAGAATTTTTTGCTATAGTGCCCAATCGATTTTTCGATCTAACCTGTACTCTCCTACGTGAATGATAAATAAAACTTTTTCGACACTGTTGCAATGGAATTACGAGTGTCGATAAAAAAACTTTGATTAAGAGCTGTCACCAAATGAACTGTCAGATTATCATCAGAAGTTACATCGAACCTTATTTCAACACAACACACCGAAATATCTTTGTGGGTAGAAGAAAAGTCCTTTTCACATTTATCCTTTCTATGTAAAATAAAAACTTATTTCATGATAGTAAACGAAGCAAAAGTCAGATCTCAGAGACAGTCATGATTGAAATCAAAGTAATAAGATTAAAAATCTGTAGGGACTTTTAGTGAGACTATATTCACTTGTTTCTCTTGTTTTTAATTTTTTTCCGACCGAAGGATTTCTGACTCTTTAGTCTCTCGAATACAAAAAAAAGAAAATCTGAGTTTAGTTCTAAATCGACTTTAGTAGCTTCGATTTGATCTGTCGGGACATAAAATATCCTGTTAGTGTGTCTAGATGGTTTTTACAATATTTGATGAGTACATTAAAATCAAAGCTGTAGTCAGAAAGAGGAAAGTCTTGGCTACAAATTAGTTCTAAAAAATTAATTTTATCCAATAAAAGTAATGACAAAGAAAAATGATTTTTTGTTGGTCGGAAGCGCAAAAACCAGTGATTTTTTTATCTTTTTCCCTTGAAAACCTCACAGTAATATCAGCCTAAAGACTTGATAGTATATTTGGTAGATGGCCTAAACAGTAAGGAATTTAAAAAAAAAATTATTAAAATCGGTTGAGTAGGAGCTGAGATATGAGCGTTTTACTTTTGGCAACCCAACGATACACAGAGGAGCGCAATTCACCCATATGAACATTTTGTTGTCTCATAACCATCATCTTTGGAATAAAATATATTTATGTTTAATTATGAAATTATAATGATATTGTAGATAACAGTACAATTTTTAATAATTAGTTGATGTCAGTGCTATCTGTAATTAAGAAATCTAATATCACATTATTTAAAGAATATGATTTTGATTGTCTATCATGAATGAGTTTTATATGATAAATCAAAAAATTTTTCAATATATAATAAGATGTCACAGGTGCTAACTGATGAAGCCAATAGGTTTATTTATACTATAAATGAATAAAAAAAAAGAGAACTACAAATGAAAATAATACTATTTAAAATGTATATTCATTGTAATCTTTATATGAGCAGAGTATTAGATATTTTTAATGACTTTTCAAATTAACTAAATCACATTGACTGTTCAATCAATTCTTCTTTAAAACACACCTAACTATTTGCAATTCATTGTACGAAACTGGAATATTATAGTTAAAGCTGCTGTTAATTTTTAAAAAGTTTCTTGTCAAAGCAAAGAATTTATTTTCGACAAAGATACATTTTCGTCTAAATTAGTATATGATCTACTCTCATTATATAAGATAGAGCTATTGAGTTTCTAATATAAATATGCCGGTTTGTCAGAGGTCACTTTTACGAATCCAAGTTTTTGAATTGTACCTTAAAACTATAGCTTTTTGAAGGTCTAATATACAGTATCTTGTATGAAGATTTTCAGAGTTTTTAGACTTCATATTTTCGAGCTATGACCTTTTCGAAATATTCTTGTGTTATTCATCTCGCTTCCAAAAAACCTCTATTTATGAAATGCTCTACAAAACTTTGAATCTCTATAATGTGAACTTCTCTACAGGCATATCTAACAAATAGAGATATAAAAAAGCTCAATAACTTCGTTGAATCTCAATAGGAATTCAAACCCTTTTACTGTTTTCACTCGAATATTAAGTAGTATCTATATAGAGAAATCTGGACAGATTCCATCGTTAGTACACAAAACTATCATATTGAAAGTTAATTATTTTTTCATACAATAAAGAGTTAAAAAAATAAATTATTCAATAGTTTTTATTTTATAATTTTTTTTTTGTAGATCTATTCATACAGTCTAAATATCATTTTATATTTTGTATTCTACGATTAAAAATTAATAATTACATTTTTACTAATTCTGTTATTCAAGATTCAAATTCTACAATCTGACTAGATATACAATACTTGATTAAATTCGAAGTATGAATCTCAATTTCATATAATTGAAAAGAAAAAGCTTTTTTTTTCTCAATACACATGATGATGACATAGTATATGTTTTATTTGAATGCTAAAACATGGTCATGCACATAGTCATAATTATAAGATTGATCTGATCTTAGTTTTAGTTTGGTAATAAGCAAGCAAAAATCCATATTTATCTCACATGTAGAGAGAAATTTTGAAATAAAAAATGAATAACTGAAATGTAACAGATCTTTTTTTTTTTCAAACAGTAAATAAAAGCCTTAAAAATACTACAATTGAAAAAGTTTGTTGAGTACAGGAACAACTACTCGAATTCATTTCAAGATCATTTGGTGTAATCGAATGCAAATATGAAAGAAAGTTTATCGAGGTTAACTTCGAATACGAAAAGTTATAAATATATACCAAAAAAGTATTAAAACATGTTCTAAATAATCTGCTTTTATTAAGTATTTATCAATGATAAAAATAATACCTCTAAGATTATTCATCAATCTTTATACAATGGTCATTTGTATAAATTCGAATCCAATAATTTATTTCGCGTCAATAAAAATTCATTCACATTTAGAAAAAAAAAGCTATTCAAATAGTTTCTTAGCTAGATATGTTGTGAATTCTAAATCACGATTGAAACAATAGGCATACTTAGTACTAGTGTACTTCGAACATTTTGCGTGACATTAGCTAATATGATTAACATACACGCCATCAGTAAACAGTTTGTAGACCTGCTTAATAAGTTCTATCTAGAGTTATCGTTGGTTTTTATTGAAATCGACTTAGCAAGGAATCTAAACTTTTTTTTTTTTGGGGGGTAATTTTGATTTTTTTCTTCTTTGAAATGGAGGAATTATTTATAAATAAAACCTTTGAAATTGTTACAATCTATTAAATTCTATTTAAAACCAGAACAAACGAAGTTGAAATTAACTTTACAGAAGATTGCATTCAGGAAATATTTGAATTCTTCCTTGAGATATATTACGTTTTTTCTCAAGTATAAATAGTAAACTATTTTTAATTATATTTTAAAAAAAATAAACTTCATCACTCTACTCATGTAACCATATACTCAAGACACTATAGTGTGTGTCGCTCTCTCTGCCTCTCTTCAACTCCTTCAACTCGTTTCCCTCCTTTTGTGAACAAAGGACAAAAATAATGACAACACGTGACTCATGACAGCTCTCCGTACAATATAAATAGGTTACAATACAATCAATTGAATGAACAATATTACTTATTCGCGTCGAAGTAACAAATAAAAAAATACTAAAATAAAACAAACTAAAAGGTATGTAACTTTAACAAATCAATAAATATTATTATTATATTTTTGTTCTTTATAATTAGTAAAAGAAAATAATTTGAATGGATTCATTTGTACAATGTCATTATTGCAAAAAGAATTTAACTAATCCAGTAGAATTGGTTTGTCGACATGCGTTCTGTTCTGATTGTTTGGCGAAAGAAATTCAAAATGATAAAATCGTTTGTCCAATATGTGGTACTGTACATAATGCATTAGCTGCATCACTTTCATCAGCTCCACAGGACAAACTAGCACCATATCTCATCGGCTTAAACAGGTGTTGTTCAATAATCTGTTTCTTGTGGAGCCAAACTCATCAGATGTCTTCTTCCAATTGCAATGATTTTTTGTCTATAGGTTTCTAACAAAAAATCTGTAAAAGCATTTAGGTTCCCATCACTTCCTTCAAAAGTTATGAAAATTTCAGTTTTGCCCCTAAATTGCATAACATACACTATGGGCTATAAGTAGTACTACGATAAAACAAAAATGAAATATCTCCACATCGGTTCAATAAAATAGGCTGATCTTTTGGTTATTGGTAGAAGTTTATTTAAAGTTTTTTTTCATAAGAATAAGATAAGCAAATACTAATGTTAGTATCATGAGAGCAAATTTACCAGTTATCAAGTAAAAAAAAACTACATACGTAGCGTTTCATAAATAATTTTTCAATTATCATCTAAGAAAATGATAAGAACAAGTTAAAACGAAGTTTATGCGTGATTCTATATTGATGCGTTTAGAACAAATTTTCAAAATTAAGTAGTTTAAAAATCTAAGGTAAGAAGACTTTGAAATTTTCAAACATGGAACTTTGATTTTTGCAAAAAGTTGATGTTTTAATACTCAAAAAATCTACTATTGTGCTTTTTAGTTTATAGAAACTAGTCTAGTTGAGTTCTTTATATGTGCACAATCTCAGATCGAAATTTGGTAGCTTAATCAAATCTCAATAGATACCTGAATCTCTTTAGGATTTTTATTTGGAACTGATCTATAGATAAAAATTCATTGAAATCGCAATGGGCGTCTATGGAAGCTTTTTCTGTAATTGAAAATAAAATTATCGGAAGTAAAATATCGCAAATCAACAATTGTTATTCTCTGATTGAAAAGAAATTGACTTGTTGATATTTTTACTTTTGACTAAAGTTCAAATAATCGTGTGTTTATTTCAAAACAATATGTAAAAGATTATTTTTTTCTTTAAATAGTGGTGCTCCATATTCTGTTATTACTGAAGATTCACCGCCAACAATTATAGCTGCATGTCATGAATGCCGAAATACAACTGATTTACGTCCATGTTTTCATTGTGAAAATCCTTTATGTGTTGGTTGTCGAACAAAACATTTTGAATCACAAAAAAAAGAAGTTGATAAATCACTTGCTAGTTTAATGGTTAAAACTAATGAACTTCTTATTTTAGCTCGTATGTATTGTGTTTTTTTTCTTTCGAATCGTAAAAAAATAAAATAAATAAATTATGATTTTTTCTGCTAGAAGCCTTAAATGCTAGTCGAATGGGACGTATTCAAGAATATAAAACAATGAAAGAACAAGTATCTACACATGTAAAAGATCTAATCAAAAAATTGAATGATGAAGAACAAGTTATTCAAAAAAAACTTGATGCAACAATTCAATCAGAAAATGAGTACGTACCAAGTTGGTTCTTTTTTTTGTTTCATTTTTATATCAATACTTGTTTTGCATATTAAAGAAAAATTACTGTTACGGAACGAGAAGAACAATATCTTGAGAAAAATAAAGAAGCCTTAGATCAAGTTATGGAAAAATATCGAAAGTAATATCTTCTATTGATATTTTTTTTTTGTTTTTATATAAATAATATTTTATTTTTTATTTAGTGAAACAAATCAAATGGTTTTGATTAAAATGCATAAAGATTATTTAGATGCAGCATCATTTTGGAAAGAAAAATTACAATCTCATGCAATTCGAATTAATACAAAAAAAGAAGAAGTAAATATTTTATTTAACTAAAATTCTCAAGAGAAATGTTTTTTTTTGTTTGTCTTTTATATAGGAACTATATTTTCAACCGATCCCACTTGGAAGTAATGATGGTCTTGTTGGAAAACTGACAGCTTCAAAAAATGTTAATGTTCATGCGCCATCAAATGAAAAACATATGACTGCACTTATGAATCCAAGAGGAAGTCGTTCATGCAGTATAATGTAATATATATTGTTTGCTCATAGAACTTGTGTTACTGTGATATTCAATAGACGAGCTATGTTTTTCTAATTTTTCTACTATTTTTTAAAATTTTGTTTTGTTTTACTTCAGTCTATCGCAAAAGATGGATATGTTTTATTTTCTTTTTTAAAAGCAAAAATAAAAACTTACATACACACGCACAAATATATATCTATATATATATATATCTTAAAACAAGACAAACGTGCATATATGAAAGAAAAACTGAACATATAATCAAGAGAATAGTTGTAAAAGAATAAGTATCTTTTTTTTTCTTTGGGAAAAGTTTTACATAAGTAAAGTTTTCTTTTGTTTGTGTTGTTTTCTGTACAACAGCGGTTCAAATCTTTTATCTGATAGATATAAACAGACAAAAAACAAAACATCAAGTTATAAAGAAATAATACTACACATCGAATAAGGAACATAAAACGAATGATAATACAATGAAAAAAAAAAGGTATATATAAGTGAATAAATAAATGTTCATTCTCGATAAGTACGATCGGTTCTTTTTAAGTTCGAGCTTTTGTTTGATGTTGTTGTATCGATTGTGTATATGCAGCTAAAAGAAAATTTAAAAGAAAATTTTTTCTAAGAAAAATGTGTTGATTTGTACCTGTTTGTTTGTATGCCTGCATTTCAAGTTCATAACGTTCTTTAGCTTCCTTAGCTGCTTTTTCATATCGACGTTTTAAATCATCCGGTGCTGAACGCCATTTTTCTCCAATAACTTTAGCAACATCAGCTACTGATAATGATGCATTTACTACTTTGATTTTTGGTCTTTCATCTTGTGAAAATATAAAAAATGCCGATAATGGACGTTTTGGTGCATTAGGATCTTTTTGTTTTGATGTACGTCCCATTCTTAGAATTTCTTTTAATTAATTCTTTTTATTTCTAGAGAAAAAAGATTCGTTTTTTTTCATTTGTATGAAAATGACAAATATATGTATAAATATATGTATGTATAAAGATTGACAAGTAAGAGGAGAACAAGGAAAAACTACTTACTTGGCTTTGGCGGGTGTGGAAGAGGGCGACAGAGGTCGAATAAAAAGGAGCTAGCGAGTCGCTAGTTTCGATGTAAAAGGGAGAGACGTGTATATGTGTATGTGTCTTACTACGAGTGAAGCAAGCGCTTTTGCTGTGCTTGCTTTTACTCTCTTATTCTCTCTCTCGCTGGCTATGAACTGCTGCAGCCATACACTGCTATGTTTCTTCTTTCTCTTTCTTCTTCACTTCGCTGTATACAAAGCAATAGGGTAGTCGTTCTAATGCATTTCTCTTTCTTCCTTCGCTTGCTCTTTGCCATTGACGGGCGAACGTTTGTGCATCGCTGTTTCAAGTAGTGTGCGTGCGTTTGTGTATCTAGCTTTCTTTTTCTCTTTCTGCGCACATACACAGCGTTCGATTGATAGATTAGATGTTGTGTTTTGAATGGCTGTATATATGGGTGTGTATGTGCGCGAGCAGACGACGTATAGAAAAGGAACGTTGAAGACGACAGCGATGCATGCTTACATACTACGTCTCTCAATTCTACTGCTGCTGCCTTCATAGCAAATTGCTTTTCGGGCAAGCAGCAATAGTAGTGGCAGCTGCCATAGAATAGAGAGAAAGAGAAATACAAGGCGAATGCGCTTGTATTGCAATGAAGATGATGGGGGTGATGGATTTCTCATGGCTTTGACGGGCACTATGCTATACTATTATATGAAAGAGGAAGAAAGAGAAACGAAGCATGCGTTATCTAGGTCGACGGAGCTTAAGAATACATAAGATAGATCGACTTTAGAAGGGTTATAATAATGTATAATAGTTGATGTCAAATTATTTGTTGATTAGATGATATTTTGTCTTATTTTTTATTTTCTATGAAAAAAAATTATCATCATTATAATTGAGAAATATTTATTGATATATTTCTTATATTAAAATCATAAAAAAATTCTTTCATCTTTGAATAAAATTGCAAATATTAACGTCATTTTCTTCTTCTGACATATACATTATGTTCGTTTGTATACATCTATTGATTGAATTGTTTTTCTCTTACATTATGATTATTTGTATAGAATTCTGCTATTGATTACTTATTAATCACATAATATTTCATTGACTGTTGAAGAGATTGAAACTATTGTAAATTACTTAAGTAATTAAAGTATTTTTTTTCTCTTGATTTATTTGAATTATTCAAGTAATTATAAGAGAAATTTACTATCGATATATGAATATATTCAATTGTTTAATCTGTTAAAAGAAATATATCTATTGAAAACATCAAATTGAAAAAGTTGAAGTCTTGAATACCAAAAAGTCGAACAAATTATTTCAAAAGAAAAAACAATGAAATAAATTACTAAGTATTATGACTATCGCTTTTATCATTATGAATACATCTGTATAACATTGTAATTCTTTTGTAAACTTTCTTTAGTGAAATAAAGCATCTGTTTAACGAGGAACAAATGGCAAAAATAAAGGATAGACGATATAAAATATATCGATATAGGAAAAAATCCAAACAAACATATTATTTTGAAAACAAAAAAAGAATTCTCATTAAAGTTACTACAACATATTTTAAAGAGTAAGATATTTTTCTGGATATTTTTGTTTTAAAAGTTATTCATCATAAAGATAAGTCGATTTTATGACTTAAGAGTAAATTACTAATAGAAAAGACTTACTCTTTTACTTATAATTTTTATGATCTACTGTAAAAATTGATTATTTTGAATTTCAATAATGATATTAAATGAATGTTGTGAAAGCAAAAAAAATTATATATCTAGTCGATAAAAGCTGTTAATGAGAATAATGACAAATATCGTTTTTAATTTCTACAGTTTTATCAACAGAAGATTTAATAAGATAAGTTTTTTTTTTTTTTTCATCAAAATACATTTCATGAATATTCATGATTAAGTTGAAGTTTCATAATTATTTAATATCTAATTTATAGTTTTCATTATAGCAGATGTTTTTTATTAGTTGGGTCATTGAAAACAAAATCTAAATTAATGGATTCATATATCGAACTTACATTCAATACAATATATATACATATATTGCTATGAATGAGTTCACCTAACAACAGATATCTTATGGTGAAATTTGCTCATTTGAAAATCAACTCAATTAGATGAAATCTAATAAAAAAAATGAAATATTAGCTAATTAAGACACTTTCTTAATTTGCTCTTGTCTGAAAAACAAAAGCTAATTTAAAATACTATTGTTAATTGATTTTATTAATTCGAAAGATAAACTCAATAGAAGAAAATATTTAGTTATGAGAAATATCACTTCAATTTACGTGACTAATGTAACTATTTAAAACATTATATTAAATGAGTGACTTGCACATTAATTTATACATATGTTTTCTTATTAATTCTACTATTAGATAATTATATGAACATATATTTAGCTTTAAATATACGAACAGCTGCTAAAATATTGGAAGATGATTAGAAAAGTACATAGACTTATCTTAGAGCCATCTAAATAAAAACAAAGTATCAGTCAGAATAATGGTTCTACGTAGCTTGATGAATAACGACACAAAACATATGAATTGGTAAAGCAAATACCGAACATTGCATTGATTGTCAATAGTAATTTTATCATGCTGCTCAATCGCGCTATAGGTAACACTTCGTTATAGGACTCATTGATCTTTGCTCACTCGACTAAGCATTTTATTATTTGAACAGCTCTAAAAGAATGATATTGATGTCTATAAAAGTCATTTTAAACATATTATTATAAAGATTCATGATCCATTTAAGATAATAATTGAGATAAATAAAATATGTCAACAATATTGTTCTTATCAAACTAAAATAGATTTAAGTTTATTTTAGTAGTAAATATAGCTCATTTATCTGAGGTTATTTCAACCGTAAGCATGTCACCTAACATAGTTCTGATAGTTAAATGTCGAAAATTCAAATTCTTATCGTTTAAAAATTTCGCCTTCATTCTCATTGTTATGCTGTGTATATACTTGTCGTATTATATTCTATTCTATATTTAGTAATTTTTCATAAAAGAAAGCTTATTTGATGCATAATTAAAACAAGAATTTTATTTTTTAATAATCCATATGAACTAACATATCGTTCATGAATTTTCTTGGCTACTGTGTGATGTATAGATACAGAAAAAAAAATCATCAAATAAATAAATAGATAAACATCAAGATTAACATATATAAGACTCGAGCGAATAATATTTTCGATATTTGTCTACTACTTAAATAAATGCCATTTTCACTAATCAACATAAGATTTCTACTGGATCAACATCAAGACAACATGCATAAATTATATTTTTTTATTGTAGTTTATCAATAAATCGATTAAGAAAAATATACTTGGAAAGTAGATCAGCAAATATCCGTGACGACTAAGTAACATAAGAACATTTTTTATCATTGACATATTGTTAAAGTTCATTTCACCATGAGTAGCAGGAAATAAATTTCTCAGAACCTATAGGTTCGATTACATCCGCAAGTGAGCTTATTTTGAAGGATTACATTGAATAATGATGAACACAACATCTCACTCTTGACATGAAAAAGATACTTAAGATATAATAGAACTTTCTTTTTTTGGTATTGATTAATCAAAGATATGGAACGATAAAGACTCTTGTTCTTGTTCTTCAGTTCTTAGCATAAAGAAGTGTATTCTGATTAATGTAAATGATGCGTCCCAAAGCTTATCATTAGCTATTGACAGAAAATACTTAATACTGATATGGATCTTACCAAAGATTGAAACAGCTGTAAACGTGTCTACTACTTTCAACGGATGATAAAGAAGCAAAACACTATTAAATGTAGTGAGTGCAAGAAGTGATGCTAAAATTAAAAAATCAGTCATATGGAGTATACGAAAAAGAACAGTATGCTGAATACTAGCTGATTTTATTCGACACCTTTGATATAATTACAATCCTCTATCAGTATTATCCAATTATACACCTTAATAATATGACACACGTTTACCATTATAGAATGCTCTTATTTCATAATACATATAATGTTGGTATAGATTAAACAATCCAATAAAGTAAGATGAATATGATCATGACTTTAGAAGAGCTTTCCATGGACCATGTAGACATCTTCGGAATTGCACAAAACTTGATTTTTGTTTTATTGACAACATACATGTGTGAGTCTGTATAGATGATCAATAGGATTGTATGACAACTTTGAAATACTAACAGAAATCTAAATGAAAGAAGATCTATTTTATAAGATAAGAATATGCTTATCGTACAAATAGAAAATGATACAACACATAGATGGGTAATAGTGCACAATCATACGAATATAATATATTTACTAGTAATATTGTTGCTTTGTCGATATGAAGTATATTATCAAGGTCAGAGCTTGTCAATAGGCGTAGTTAGCTTAAATAAGAAATAGAATTGACCTATTAACAACATGAGCCATAAAAAATAAGTTTAAAATGATTCTATTTACTCAAGATGAAACAAAAGATGTCATTCATGATTATCAGTATTGTCTGGAGTGGTTTTTCTTTATCAGTACTGAACGTCTATTATCTTCCTTTTTGCTATTGCTTTTTAGCCTTATGTTAAAATTAATTGCTTGTTTGTCTTACTTTTTTTTCTCAATAGATATTTTCATGTGAAATAAGTACAATAATGATGGTCGATTTTAGATTGTGCGATTAAGAAGATACCATGAATGAAGTGAAAAAAGTAATAAAAAGCATAGTCATATGATAATTATAAACAATTAATAAACGAAACGAAGACAATATACTAATGGTGTAGCTGAAAGATATTCATTGCACTCTGGAAATTCAAAATT